CCTGAGAGACACGTGTCATGGTATTTCCTTCTGTTTGGGTTCTAGTGAATTATATTTATCTGTAATGGTTCACTAAACTTAGTCAAGAGATGGCCCTAAGTGTGTTCCTAAAATGCCAAGGAACAGTGTATGATCTGTTACAATGCAGATTCTATGGTGACACGAAGGCCAGCCCCAAGCAACGGGGGAGACATGATGAGATCTGCTGTCGTTGAGGGATAGGTAGAAGTTCTTTGTCATCGTGGACAACAGAGTCAACATCACCGCCATGAGGGAAGGAGTAACAGAGAACCAGAGAAGCGATGGGCCACGGACGGAAGGCATCCAAGCCTCCCCACCGGGGGGCAACGGCAGACAAAAAGCACACTGCAAGGTTAATGGAAAATAGTTTGCAACGGGAAGGACTGTTCATAGAGGTGCAGGCAGGTTGAGGCATGGGGGGACTAGCTTTTACCCCCAGGCCTGAAGGGGTGGGGAAAGCACTGTTGTTGGAGCCTGGTGAGACCTGGAGCCTTGGGGGCAGACTGTCCTGACGCAGGGTTGCACCTGCTGCTGCACGGAGACCCGTCGACGCCCCACTTGTCCCTCCGCTGCCCTGCAATCTGGTATCGTGTCCCCAGTGGCCAGACACCCCTGGAGTGAGGGTAGACGGTCCCTAGAGTCAGCCACCTGGAGCACAGAGTAGAGTGAGGGGCAGGGCCAGACCTGGGGCTGTGCATCTGGAGAGTCCTTAGCACGCGTGTCCAGAGGCAGGCCCCACCTAGAGTGGTTCGATGAGACCAGGTGGGTGTTGGCATGCGGGATGCTGGGAACATTTACCATATGCATCGACCCACATAGCACTGGTCTTTGTCATTTAGGGGTGAGGAGGAGGAGCTGGTTTTCAGTGGTCATCACACATGTGTGCTCATATACACACATGTGCACACATGCAGAGGTATACACGGTGCATATGTACACGGCATGCACACACTTGTGTGTGCACACACATGCAAGGACAGGTACACACACACACCTACATGCACGTGCACACAGACCCACATGGTGCGTGCACACAAACACACACACACACACACACAAGTCCTTCTAGGAAGTTGCAGTGATGACCTCTGGAACATTCTCCACCTCCTTGGAACCGTCTGTGCCTCATTTCTGGGGACTTCACTCCCACAGGCAGGCAGAGGGCTGCCCTGATAACAGAAAACTCAGGAATGATTCAAGAGGACGTACCAGTGGACTGGAAGCTGTCAGAGGTAGGAGTCGTCCACTCTGAGGCAGAGAGGGGCGAGCCCCTAAGTTTGCCTCTTCGTTGACGGTCACTTAGTTTATGCCTTGGGATAAGGATGGTCCACTCTGGGCCAAGAAGGGTCAGGAAATCACTGGCTCTCAGTCAAGGATGGTTTGACTGCCCCCACCCCACCCCAATCAAAGACACTCGGGAGTGTCTGGAGACATGTCTAGTTGTCACACCCGGGGAAGGGTGCTACTGGCATCTTCTGGGAAGAAGCAGCTAGACATCCTACAATGCACGGCTTCCTGTGGCAAAGTGATGTCTGTCCCCACATAGCAGTTGAGCTTGAGTTGAGAAACCCTGATGTCAGTGAATAAAGGAAACCGGCGGACACGCTCATGAACAGCATTGCAAGCAGGCTGAATGGAGCGGTCACGCTCACCCACACATCCTATTTCCACGGGGGACGCTGCCTCGTCTCCTAGCCCGCAGGTTCTGTTCTCATGTTTTCTGCCCCCACCTTCCTGGGTGCATTGCTGCTCCCGCAACACTGGGCTCTTTTCCAGGATGTGCAACAGACTTGCAAGTTAAAAGAGCAGCCATGTATGAGCTCAAGGTGCTGTGAACCGAATTCTGGGCTGGGGTCTCCCGAAGCTGAAATTGGGCATTGGCAGGGCTGGGTTCTTACCTGGGGGCTGTAGGGGTGACTCTTCCTCCAAGATCCCTTAGGCTGTTGTTGGCTGAACTCACTTCCAGTGGTGGCAGGACTGGGGGGGAGCCTGCATCCCTGCGGGTTGTCAGGGGAGGGGCGCACATTCCGCTCAAATGACTGCCATGCATCCCTGGGCTCATGCAGGCCACTCCCCCTCAAAGGCAGTGACAGCAGGCCGCATCTCGTCACACCTGGACCCTCTCTGGGAGTCCCCCATGCCACCAGCCAGAGAAAAGTTTGTTAACGCAGGGCTGAGGCGAGGAGGCCTCATGCTGCCTAGTGTGAGGCCGGCTGATCTGGGTCTTTAATTGACGTCCACGAGGCTCTGGGAGCAGCCCCTAGCTTTGCTTCCATGGGATCCGAGGTAGGAATCATGGGGCATCTTCCAAACCCAGCACAGGACACGTGGCACCATGTACTACACTCAGTGTTTGCTGAACGACTAAATACCCCAGCAGCTTAAAAAGCAGAAATCCAGAATTTTATATGGGAGCTTTTAATTTCATTTTATTTTTAAGTCACCTCTACACCCAACGTGGGGCTCGAACCTACAATCCCAAGATCAGGAGTCCCCCGTTCTACCCACCGAGCCATCCAGGCACCCCCCCCCAACTTTGATTTTATTTTCACATTGTCAACTGTGTCCATTTGAGACAGCTTCCATAACAAGGTACCAGGTGGTGGCTTAAAGGACAGGTGGGTCATCTCATGGATTTGAGGCCAGAAGTTCAGAATCAAGGTCCCATCTGAGGGCTCTAAGGGAGCACCTGGCCCCAGCCTCCTCTCCAGGGTGCACGGATGGCTGCTTCATCCTTCCATGGCGTTGTCCCAGTATGCCGTCCGTCTAGCAGCTGCTCCTTCTTTGGGGCACACAAGGTCACCGGTCCTTGCACAGGACCACCCCGTAGCTGCCCGTGAGCTGGACTGCCTCTGTGTGCATGTGAGGTCATGTTCTCCAGTCCTGGGGGTGGGGGTTCGGCATGTGGGTTTAGACGGAAGTACACGTCCGGCCCGTAATAGCAACTAATTATACGTTTTCCTTTATTACATACTCTGCGGATCGGATTTGGCCGACTCAGCCTTGCAGGGCCAGAGATCAGGTGGTACCCGGCCCCCGCCCCACACGTCCCCTCCTCACACTGCACAGATAGATGCTCATTCCAGCAGCAGCCGTGCCAGTGGCTTCTAGAAGCTTCTAGGGAGAGCATGTTACGTGCAGGCTCTAGCTCACTGTGAGACAGATGCACCGGAGGACAGAAGTTAGGCTTTCTGGCGCCTGGGTGGCTCAGTGGGTTAAAGCCTCTGCTTTCGGCTCAGGTCATGATCCCAGAGTCCTGGGATCAAACCCCACATCAGGCTCTCTGCTCAGCAGGGAGCCTGCTTCCTCCTCCCACCCTCCCTCCCTCCCTCTCTCTCTCTCTCTCTCTCTGCCTACTTGTGATCTCTATCTGTCAAATAAATAAATAAAATATTAAAAAAAAAAAGTTAGGCTTTCTGTGTTCCGAGTTTGCCCTCCTCATTGATTTTCTTTATGGAACTCGTCATCATCCCTGTGTTACACCTGAGTCCAGCACCTTTTGAAAAGAGGGAGGGACACGTTTGGGTTTCAAATGCTGAGAAAGCACGGGGACATCAGGTATAAAGGCATGTGCAGGTGGCATGGGGCAGCTCGGGGACAGCCAGACTGGAAGGGAGCACCCCCCCAGGACAGAGTCACTCCTGAGTCCTGAGCTGATGCCAGTGTCCACACCGAACCTTGCTTTTTTCCTGGAGGGAGAGGATCCAGCATTGGAGACAGAGGCTTGGAATTGCAGTGATCAGTTGATAGAGGATCACGTCGCCTGTCTCTTTGCACCACAGCAACCCCACGCTCCCCACCCCAGGGGTGCCCCAGCCCTGAGGCAGAGTTCTGCACTTACCACGCTGGGTGGGAAGGGGGAGAACCCTTGCATCCAGCTGCTTCATCAGCAGACTCTGCAAATTCTCCTTGTTCTAGCCTCATCTACTCCTCCCACGTTGGGGCTGGGACCACCGATCCTGGGGACGGGCAACTGTGGCATCAGCCCTATGCGCTCTCCCTCTTCTTGCTGACCATGGGCAGCTGCATGTGGGAGTCCTGCTCCTGCATCTTCTCCCAGGTTCCAGAATCTGCAGCAGCCATGCAAGTCCTCTCCCTACATTGTCTTTCCAAACAGCACTCGTGTCCTCCCGGGAGCAAGACTCGGGGGGGAGGTGTAAGGGGGGGAGGACAGGTGGCCATCTGTGTCCCGCCTACAGTTCGTCCCATGGGTCTGCTGACAAGAGCGGTGAGGGTCACAGGGGCTGAGCCACGACCAGAACGTCGGTTCTGGAGGAGAGCTTTTTTTCCCCCACATTCTGACTTGTGTGCATTTGGGTCCGTGCCTTCCCGGAGGAGGCCCGGTGGTCACGCGCAGCAGGATGCGGGAACGGAGCCCTAACTCACGTTTATTAAGTGCTTGTTGTATACCTCACACTGCTTTAATCTCTTTCTGTGGGTGCATGCATACCTTCGTTCAGCCCTGGGAGCAGACCCCTTACAGAGGGGGACTCGGGGCCCAGAGAGGTTATTAGTTGTCCTGAGACCACACAGCAACAGAGTGGGCAAACCAGAGTGTAAGCCTCGGCGGGAGATTTGACACCCCCCCCTCCAACCAACGGGCCTGTGTCACGGGGGCCGGGCTGGACATGGCAGGAGGGTTAGCTGTGTCTTTGGTTTCTCCCCACCAAACAGCAGCCCCCACCAGGTAGCGACAACCAGAAACGTGTCCTGACATGGCCACGTGCCTCCCGAATGAGAATGACTGTCCCGGGCAGGCGGACGCTCCCCCTGAATGCCTCACGAGGCTGCTTCTCGGTGTGGGGGTGCCCAGGGACCCTTTCCCCCTGCTGCCCTCCACCCGCCTCCGCACGAGCCACGGAAACACAGACGACAGAACAAGCAGGGGTGGGTGGCGGGGTCGTGGAGCGTGGGCCCCTCAGCTAAGCCGGTCTTTAACGCCGTGGCTCTCTCTCGCCTGTCTTCCTGCCCGCAGAGCCAAGGTGAAGAAGGGGGTGATCATCTTGGGCACCCGGACCAGTGAGCCCCGGCAGTGGGACGTGAAGCAGGAGCTGGGCAATGGCGGGAAGCACGCCACGACCACCGTGCTGTGCCAGCGCCTGGGGTCCGGGGCGCGCAACAGGTAAGGCCTGATGACGCGGGCTCCGGGGACCGGGTCCCCGCCTCGAAGGCTTGCTTGATGCCCACATTTACCGGCTGCTTAGCGGAGCTGTGAACCCCTCGGCCTGGAAATCTGGAGGCACCTCTGTCACTGGCAGGACCCTCTGGTGGCTCCTGGCGGGGCAGGCTCGGCTCTGGTTCTGAGTCTGCTGTTTGGGCTTGGAGCAGAGGCTTGTTAGCGTGGTTGGCTCTGCCTCCCAGCCTCAGGCATGCGCTCCACCTGGGCTCAGGTCCCTGGGCTGTGTCACCTCCCCTTGCCCCCGCTGGACTAGCAGCTGCTGCTTTCTTCCAAGTGCTCACTCTTTGCACAGAGGGTGTGACATCGTGCTTTATAATAAGAAATATGTATTTGGGCTTCATCCCTGTTCCCCTCATGGGGCTCCTAAAACCCTGAGAGTTTCCTTATGGATGAGAGCAGCAAAGGTGACTTTTCTTACGTTAATGAGGTGACTTTTGGAAAGCACCTGGGCTGCCCGAACCCCACCCCCAACATCTCCCAGGGGCAGAGGGTCTGGATTTTGACTTCAGTTATCAATGGCCAAGGATGTCATCCATCTTACCTCTGTCATGAGGCCTCCAGAAAAACCCCAAAGAATGGGTCTCAGAGAGCTTGCAGGTGGTGAGCCCATGGAGATTTGGGGCATGTGGCACCCAGAGAGGACATGAAGCCCTGTGCCCTTCCCCACGCCCTGCCCTCTGCATCTGCTCCATCTGCCTGCTCCTGAGTTAGGTCCTTTACCCTGGTCAGTAAGGGTTTCTCTGAGTCCTGGGATCTACAGTATTAATTCATACTATGTTAATCTCGTGATTAGCCCAGGGGACAGCCTGCAACTGCCACTGTCACCTGTGGGTGGGGGGGCAGTCCTGGGGGATCCCGCCTCTCCCCTGGGGGATCCCATGCCCTCTCCAGGTGGACCGGCTCAGGATGGCGCTGAACTGGAGGACCCCAGCTGGTGTGGCAGCGCCGCTTGGTGATGGGGGGAAATGCCCACGTCGGAGCTGGTGTCCGAATCGTGAAGGATTAGACCCCAATAGCAGTGAGGAGACATTTAAACCTGGGGTGACCATCAGTGATGATAGGACACAAGGACACGCTATGTGAGATTCTATGCAGACACCTGGATTATTATCTAAAATAACTATTTACTGCATGTAAAAATAACACAGTCTCACTTTAAAGTATTTGTGAATCGTAGTTAAGCGAGGGGAGAAACGTCGAAGAATGCATCAGTATTCTGTCCGCAAAGGATAACCCCCGGCTGACAAGTTGGTCCATTCCCCTCCCGTGTTTTATACACACAGTAAACGTGCAGTCGGCGTATTTATCTCACAAACCCGGTATCGTAATCTATACAGATTTTAAGACACTTTCGCTCCTGTCGAACACATTTCCTCCTGACATTAAATTGTCCTCAGAAATGGCTTAGCGGCCCTGCGGTGTTCCGTCACGCAGATTTAACGTTGCGTGAATAACCCTGCCCATGTCCTCGGACGTTGTGGTGGTTCTTTTTATTTTTATAAACACTGCAGCAGTAAACCGTCTTTCTCATAAAGGTTTATCCACTTCTCTTTGCGCTTAAGGTGGTTTCTTTACAATCAAAAATTCTGATCACTTTTAGGGCTCTCGATACATTCTGTTCGTGTATTTTCTTGAAGGGAGTAACACTAAAGAAAAACGTATCCCATCATCGGACACGTTTTCTTAACTGAATGCTGCACGGCTGCCAAGAAAATAATTCTGCGAATTCTCCACTTGGTTTAGAAACACCCAGTTCTTTGATCATAAGCCCTCTCCCCGCGGTCCTTCCTTTAATGTGTAGCCAGTGAGACATCTGGTGTCCCAGCAGCTTCCTGATTCAAACACCAACCTTTCCCCCAATCCTCCCCCGAAGAAGGAATGTCAGTACATCACATGGGGTGAGGGTTGTGTGTCCAAATGTTTCAGCTCGTGAAAAAAGGGACCAGAAAAATGTGTGCCAGCGTCCCCCTGGTATTAGCAGGAGATCAGAGGCAAAATTAAGTCTCCTGAATCCAACACACATAAAGTCTAACAAACCCATAAGATTGGTGTTGATTAGGCAAATAAAAGTGAAGGTGTTCATTAACGGTGAAGGTACGCATGTACGTCGTTCTTCATGACCCAGTCGGGAGGCGTCTCGGATCGAGGGAGGGGAGCCCTATGGTCGCACCTTCTCAGGAGTCCCAGAGGTGACCCTGTTCGCGCTGAGTCTCTGGGAAGTCTGCTGTGGGCCCACGTGTGTTTGCAGAGAGGGGAGCTTCTTTTTTGCTGTTGGAAAGCCTGTTTCCCAGCACACAGCTGATGGGGGTCCTCCTATGCCTTCCTCACTGAGCTCCAAGGAAAATCTTGGTTGGTCCCCTTGGAGGAGGAGCTGTGCACAAATGTCCACCAAACACTGAGTCAGCTCCTGACCACCCCCCACCATCAAGGAAGCTGAACTCTGTGTGGAGACCTGGGACCCGAAAGACCCCAACTCAAATAAGGGTGTTTGTTGTCATGGAAGGTGCAAGTCCCCCGGTGGGGAAGGAGGGCTTCTTCCCCTCTCCCTGTAGAGCAAAGGCCAAGCCCACTTGTTATCTACTGCTGTGTGACCGATCACCCCCAAGCTTACAAGTTCAGAAGGGAACACATTTATTATCTATCTCGTGGTCTCCATGGGTCAGGGATTTGGGCCATCCTAACCAGGACCCCTTCCCCAGGGCCTGTCACTAAGGGGCAGTTGGCATCTCCTCCTCCGGGAACCACGGTCTTATCGGAAGGCTCGGCAGAGCCGACCCTCTCCCAGGCTCACATGGTCACAGGCAGGATTCAGGTCCTCGAGGGCTGGAGGGCCGTGGGCCTCAGTTTCTTATTCTTTGGTGGGTGCCCTCCTCCACCAAGTTAAGCCTTTGAGAAGGTCCTGGGAGAAGGCAAATGCCAGCAAATGGGAATTGGAGTATTTCATAACCTAATCTCACAAGTGGCATCGCACACTGCTACTGTATTCTGTTCATTGGAATCAAGTCTGGGCCGCACTCCGGAGAGGGGCATGCGTGGGAGGGTGGGTGCCAGGAGGTGGTGCTGCCTGGGAGTGTCAGGCTGACAGCTCTTCCGGGCCCCCCGAGAGCTTTCTGCAGTGGTGCCTGTGAGCTCTCCTCAAAGGACGGGGGTAAGGCCGGGTGGAGGGGTGTGGTCTGGCTGCAGGTGACATAGAAAAGATTTGCAGAAATTATGCCTAGAAAGTAGCTGGGCCACGAAACAGAGGGATGTGGATCCCAGGCCAGTGGCTTAAACCTGCCTTCCCTTAGCTGAGTATCAACCGTCCTCCTTCAGCTGACTTGCCCTCTCCATTTGACTCAATCCAGTTGATTCAGAAGGAAGTTTACGGTTCCTGCCTCAATTAGCGAGCCTTGTTGCACTAAAAATTGAGGATCCTGGTTCATTGGCTCAGGAGAGTAGTGCATCCAAGGGATGTTGTGGGGGACGCCGCAGAATCAGCTTGGAAAATGGAAAGCCCCACAGGACTGTCAGCCACGGCGGGTGCCTGCCAGGATCACACCTCCTCGTGGATGCTCAGATCAGGGCTCGAGTCAGTTTTCCTTTGAATCAACTTTAAATTGCTCTGGGTTTTTTAAATTCACCTTTATTTTTAGTGATAATATCCTTCAATGTATTGTCTGCTTGTTCCTAATGTGCATTGCAGTAAGTATTAAACTGTAAGGTTTATTTTAAATGATAATCCTCGGTGATTAGAACAGTGGTATAACTGGTGCATGTTCCTGTTGTAGTAGGATAAAGGCAATGAATTGGGCCAGTGTGTTGTGTGCCCACTCCCCCCCCCCCCCGGTTCCCCCTTCAAGCCCCCTGTCGGCCTCTGTGCACCTGAGTGGGCTGGTGGACAGCTGGGCAGCCCTAAAGAAATGCCACACACAGATGGGGGCTTAAAAGACAGACATTTATTCTCTCCTAGTTCTGGGGGCTGGACGCCCAAGATGGAGCTGTTTTCAGGGCTGGCTTTGGTGGAGACTTCTTTTCCTGGCTTTCCAGCTGTGTCCACATGTAGACTTTCCTTTGCATGCCCTGGGGTGGGGGGAGAGAAAGAAAAGGAGAGAGGGACAGCAAGAGAGCTCTGCTGTCCCTTCTTACAAGGACCCCAGTCCTATCAGGTTCAGACCCCACCCTTATGACCTCAGTCAACCTTCATTATCTCCCTAGCGGTCCCCTCTCCGAGTACAATCATGTGAAGGGTTTGGGCTACCAGAGATGAATTCCGGATGGGGGGACAGAGTCAGTCCCCAGCAGCAGGCTTTGCTCTGACGCCCTGCACCTGTGTCCTTCAGAGCACAGTCCTGGGCCCCAGGGCGCTTTGTTCATGCTTGGGAAAGCCAGAGAGTTTTCATCTTCGGGAGGCAATCCTTGCACATGATGGATGGTTGCGGAGCATAAAATCTACCCCCCTCTGCTTTGGCACGGACGGTTCTCAGCTGTGATAGATGCCGCGGAGCTCCCCAGGGATCTGGGCAGGCGGGTGCTTTCTCTAACCATATACCTTCCCTTACGTGAGGGTTTCCGTCTTCCCCGTCCCTTATCTGAAAAATCACTTAGACATGGAGCCACATCTCAGGGTCTGGGATTGTCAGAAACATAAGGGCCCCCGCTTCCTTCCCTGGTCGAATGGCCTCTTCCGTGTACAACTTGGAGGAAGAATTTGTTAGGAAAGCCGCCCACCAAGCCTTTACGTCGATGGAGGGCTTTTTCCCTGGAGCCCAGAAGCTCTGGGCTTGGGGTCCTGCCGCCATCTGTCCGTAAACCCTCAGATCCAGGAAGAGAGCTGGCAGCTGTCCACACGCACACCTAATTGTGTTGCATTTCGTTCTAACCCCGAGATTAGCATTTCAACAGCCTGAGCATCTCCGCAATCATGCAAACTCAGCTAATGGCCCCCGAGGCCGTACTTCATACTC